TCCTCACAGCTTCTGGTACACAGCTTTGACAAGCAGCCACGCATCGTTCCCTTTTTCTACCCGTTTTAATATTTATGACGGAATTAATTATTAGCACAATTAATCTTACAGTAGCACCCAAAGATCCTGCTCTGGATGGGGGGTGGTCCCTTGTTTTGGGATCTGTAGGCAAACAGGGAACATCTACCTGTGCAATTAATGCACACAAATAAACTCCAGTGCTTATTGCTCCGGGGTTTATTCATGCACAGCACTTAAGGAGCTTGGTCAGAGCAACCTGGACTAGCAGTGGACCCAGGGGGTCAGCCTGCCAGCCCAGGGCTGCTCCGACCAGGCTCCATGTGCTGCGGCGGGGCTGACGGGGGCACGAGGGTGCTTCAGCTTGGGGCTAGTTGGCACCGAGACAGTTTGAACTAAGTACCTGCAGCTCAAGTCACTAGTGTCCTCTGTGGCTCAGCACCAAGAGCCCCCTTCCCTCCCCACCAGCGAGCTACATATGCTGGAAACAGATCCCGATGCATACAGACTGGGGGCAAACTCCTCACCAACCGCTCTGCCAGGGCGCTTCAGCCCCAGGCAGCATCACCTTTTGTACGGCTGGCTCCCCGTCTCGGCTAGGAAATTGCAGCCGTGTCCATAGATTCATAGACGGAAAGGCCAGAAAGGATCCTGGAAAATCATCGGGTCCAAGCTGGAGATGTTGTTCCGGGCTGCCACTTTGCACCCAAACTGCAGCACCTCCTGCCTCCTTGGACCCCACCTGAGCAGATGCTGACGACCCATCACAGCACCAAGTACCTGGTGAGTTTTGCAAGGTTCAGAGACCACCAAACCCACTTCCAATTATGACCCGAGCCAGGACCAGAGAGTACATCCCTGAACACGACCCCAAAGTTGTCCAGCTTCTTGCCTCCCTCCATCCCTGTTGCTATCACTCTTTTGCCTCGACCTTGTCCTGGGACCTGCTTCTGCGGGTGGGTGGGTTGTAACATTTCGATTTCCTCCGAGCAGCTAACACTACGCTCCAAGAGACAGAAATACGTGACCTCTTCCAAGCTGAGCTAACATTACAGCGGCAGCCTGTCTAGTCTCATAAGCCCTTCGCTACGGGACTAGGTAACACATCTAAACACCATGCAAAGGCATCTGATGTGACCATGGGGAAGGTGCCAGTCGATTGTTTCCACATACGAGCATTGTCATTGAACTGTAAGGTGATTAATTAGGATCTTGTGTCACATTTACTGGGTATTTTCCAAATCTTCTAAGATTTAGAGGAATATTTTCATTTATTTTTCTTGCAGGTCATCAATGTCATTTTTGTTTCCTCACACTCACATTAGATTAGATTAGATTAGTGACACTCGCACACATACATTATGTAGGAGGGGCTTTTAGCTAACCAAAGAGAAATACTCTATATTACTGGGCAATACCACCAATTCCAAGATCAGATGCGTTGGAATACCAATAGCATCGCTGCACAGTAGTATTGCTGCAACAAGTTGCATCACTTTGATAGTCTACCTGACTTATCACCTGGATGGATGTTTAATTGCTGTTCTCAATCCAGCATTGTCACTGATGGCAAGGCTTTGTGCATCCCTTTGGCTGCTTTCATATCATTATCATTTGCTAGGCAGCTGCAGGTGACCAGAGAGAGAGTGCATCCACTCCCTGGATGATATATACCTTCTGCAAGCTATCCTGTTGCACCGAGCACTGTTGTCTAGCTACAGCTCGCTGCTCCCTAACCCAGCCGCATGCTTCTGCAGCCACCATCTGCTCCTAAAACCAGATTTCCATTAGACTGAGGCTGCTGCAGCCACTGCCACCAGGATGCAGACACCTGTAGCCGGCTGCATCTTCGCTTTGCTTGCCGCGGGGCTGGGATCCGGGCAGCCAAACCACCGCGTTCATGCTCAGCCCGGCTACCCCAGACAACGTTCGGGGATGCAGGTAGCTCCAACAATGGAATATGCTGCGTCTCCATGGGAACAAAGCAACCGTGTCTGCATTTGGCAACACTTGCATCCTCTTCTCGATGGACAGGGACCACCGAGGAAGCAGGGCCTTCATCCCGCAGAAATCAAGGCGTGAAGTCTGAGCCTTGGCACTCGGGGGAAGAATTTGCCATTGGGTTGGGGAGGGGATAACTCCCTGTAGGAGCCTGACGCCCGATTTTGGAGCATCCAAAAGGACCAGGCTTTTGACCACTTGCTCTTCCTTCTCCAAGGCTAGGAAGGTGGAGTGCCCCCCTCTCCCCAGGCCTACCAAACAGCTGCTTTCGATAGTCTTGGAGAACAGAACAGGGGAAGCTTTTAATTAAAAAAAAAAAAAAATGAAGAGCAAGTGAAGATGGGCTGTTGGAGGGCTCTGCATGCCTTGATCTAGGACAAGGTGTCCTACATAAAACTTAAATATAACATGCTGCTTGAGAAGCTTCTCCTCCCTATGGGAGGCCGCCTGCTTCCAATCAGCTGTTGCAAGCCCACCTCTCCCTCCTGCCCGGATGACGGAGGTTGCCGTAAGCATGAGCGCGCTCCTGGTCCCGCTGTCATCACGGACGTCTGTGGAGTCACAGTCCTCCGTGACAGGCGTCCAGAGGGGCAGATGCGCCGGCTTTGAGAAGACGACCTGCCTTTTGGATCAGGCTTCCCGGCACCTGCCAAGTTACCTGCGACTGGGTCGGAAACGGGAAGCCGTCTCGCGTGGGTTGCACCCTCCTTGGAGAGGCACCAGAAGGGCCTGTCCTAACCTTGTCTAGTTTCTTCTGCCAAGAAAACATCATTCAATTGACCTGGAATAGTTTCCCTGGCTTGATGAAATCCTACTAGTTGGCAAAGCAGACGGATATTAAGGGGAATAGAAAATCTTTACAGACATCATTAGCTACTACAGTGTAAGAGTGGCCAGATCGTTACTCGTCTCTCTTTTCTCCTAGTGCTCACTAAAGGACTCCATGAATCCAAATCCCTGCAGTTTGCACAACCTCATAGAGAAACACCTCCCTCCTCCGAAGAAATACCTTGTATATTCTCACACCCTCTACCCGGGTTATTTTTCAGGAAGACATTTTTTTCCTTTGTGCATTTCTTTACAGAGAGAACAGTTTATCTCCATCCCAGTCTGACCCTCTGCATGACTAAACTGCAGAGAGGGTGTTTCGGAGAATCAAAAGGACGCTACAAATGTAAGTCCACACGCGTCCACCTGGATTCACATAAGGAAGGGGTCTTCCATCCCTTTTGTGCCTATAGCCAGTTCTCAAATGCATGCACACCTATGCCTGCACAGGGACATACGCACATGCACACACACACAGGGACATACACACATGCACGCACGCACAGGGACATAAACACATGCACACACACACAGGGACATACACACATGCACGCACGCACAGGGACATAAACACACGCACACACGCACTGGGACATACACACATACATGCATGCACAGGGACATACGCACATGCACACACACACAGGGACATACGCACATGCATGCACGCACAGGGACATACGCACATGCACACACACACAGGGACACACATGCACGCACGCACAGGGACATACGCACATGCACACACACACACAGGGACATACACACATGCACGCACGCACAGGGACATAAACACATGCACGCACGCACAGGGACATATGCCCATGCATGCATGCACAGGGACATACACATGTGCACGCATGCACAGGGAAATACGCACATGCACACACACACAGGGACATACGCACATGCATGCACGCACAGGGACATAGGCACATGCACGCACGCACAGAATAAAAGCACTTTGCATAACACTGGATCCAATTAAAGGATGCTTCAGGGCAATGTTTCTCAACCTGCAGGCTGTGACCCAAAAATGGCTTGCAAGAATATATAAAAGGCTCGCGAATAAACTTTAAAAATGGATCGACAAACTTTACAAATGGGGAGAAACGTGGGAAACTTGTGGCTTCTCCCTTGCAGGCTGGCAGAGTTCCCACCTGCAAGGGGCTGCTTGAGACCCCCAGCCCCACACACTGGGGGGCTGTTGGGGAAAGCAGGTCGGGATTGAGGGGCACTGCGTTGGGACTGGCCACCAATGTTTACCAATGGGTCCTGGTATAAAAAAGGTTGAGGACCACTGCTTTAGGGGCTCCAGCCCTTCTTGCAAGGCCCTGTGCCTCTCATCACAAAAAAGGAGCCTCATAGCATGCTCTGTGCAAACCACGGCATTTTCCGGTCCCTTTTACGGGGCTTCGTTATCATTGTTGCTAGTCCTAACATCATCCAAAGCTGTATTCTGGACGCTCCCATCTCTACTACAGAACAAGAAGCTGCCCCGTGGGCTGTGCTTTGCTTTCGCCACTCGCCACGGAGCCCTTGAACAGCCCCGCAGAGATGACGCCCGCTCCTGAAACACTTGCCTGACTGTCCTCTGCAGCAGGACTTGAAACCAGAGCCCTTGCCTTTTGCACACTGCCTGAGGCACTCTGTTTTAGATCCAGCCTCGATACACCCATCCAACTACCCTCTACAGTGGTGCGCTACTTAAAGCCGAAATGGCGGGAGGAAGACAGGTCCAAGTGAAATGATGCTTTCCAAAGTCCTAGGTGAGGGGGGATCTTTGCTGTACGTCTGGGTCACAAAAAATAAGGGTGTCGGGGATGCAAGAAAACCTTGACATGAGACAAGTGCGAGAGGTTCAGGGAACCAAAAGGAGGAACTGAAAGGCTTTTATACGGCACTTTAAAATCATCAAAGGAGAAACTAGAAGACATCTCATGAACACCTGCAGAGTTCCCTCGCTCAAGCCTCCAAACAAATCAAAAGGAATTACAAATCCCCTGCACATGGTTTCTTTGCACGGGCTTGGATGGAGAAATTTCAAGTTTGGGGCTCCTGTGCCCGGCAGATGAAACCCGTGCAGGAGGACAGGAACAAAGGAGAGAGAAAGAGAGAGGAAGAGAGAGGAGGGCCAGAAAGCCCTTACTTACAGGTGTATGTCATCTCAAAGCTGTCGCTGATGTTCACAATGTCGATCTGGGGGAGCAGCTTAGGGGGTTCTGTGAGCTGAGACAGTGCAAACCGAAAAGCCGCATGCTCCTGGGACTGCTGATTAGGAAATAATCCCCCTGCGGACAAAAAAACAAGACAAAGCAAAGGCCTGAGAGGTGTTCATGCTGCAAGGCGCTGCGTTGCCATCGTTCCCCGGGGGGAAGCAGCTGCTGCCCAGCTCGACTAATGCCACCAAATGTCGCGACGGGGAGATGCCCGGCACAAGCCGCGTGTTGGGCATCTTTGTCGGGTGGGCATTTATGTGATCCACACAACACAACCATGCCGGCCCAATGGCCCCCCTCGGCATGGCAGTCCTAAGGGAGGGGGTGAACCATGGGGGTGCCGGCATAACTCCAAGGGATGGACCCAGACGTGCCTCCGTGCTGCTGTCTTTGAGGAGGAACAATAACTTTCGTGCCCTCTCCACCGAGGCCAGCAGCAGATGCAGGCCCAGTCCTGATGTTCCCCTCCTTACTCAGCCGGGGGGGCGAGTTTGCTCCCTTTAAAAGGGAAGGTATGAATCCACGGGAGGCCACACAATAGGACCTGGCCCTCGGTGAATTGTATTTAGGGGCCGGGAGGAAAAGGAAGCCCAAAGTTTGCTGTCTAGGGCACCTGCTGCCAGCACGGAGGAAGTTTGCTGCAGCGTCGCGCCAAACAGGTGACAGTGGAGAAAATTAGCCAGACCAATCAAAGCCTCGGCCTTGATGGTGCTTGTACCAGGTGCACGCTCCAGCCCCAGAACTGCAGGGCAAGGGGGCAAATCCAAGGGCAGGGCCATGCCGGATCCCACATCCCGTGTCCTGCCTCGGCCTGTGGGCAGCAGAGGAAGGCACAAGGAACCTGGAAGTGGCCAGTAATGGCACAGCCTAGTCCAGGTTTCCTCCTGACCTCCATGCCCCGAAGCATGAGCGTGTCTACCCTCTGCTCATGCCACACCGGTTGCTACAGGTCTGAATTTCCGTATGCGGAAAGCCAAGACGCTCGCCCCCATTTTGCAGGTGGGGAAATGAAGCACAAAGGGACTCAGCAGCTCCATTCACTCCAACTCTCGCCCGCCATTCGCTCAGGGAAAAAAAAAATAGATAAAAACATCAGCCACTGCACCGAGATCTGCCCATTGGCAGGAACAGCACTTTGCACGTTTTCAACCCAGATTACGTCTCCCGCGAGTGCGGAGGGGGCATCTGTGCACCCGAACCCCCTGCCTAAGCGTTGCTGCCTCAAGGGAGAGCCAGTCTCCTGGTTCATCTCTTTAAATAAATGGGAATGCACTCGAGAGGCGAGAGTTGGGCCGGGGGAGGGGAGGAAAGCAGCATCAACAGCAATAAAAGCATCGCTTGTGCTCCTGGACGGAGGCAGGAGTTCGGTGGCTTAGCAAAAGGATTGCCGTTGCAAAGAGAGGGGCTCTGGATACGGGAAGAGGCACCAGAGAGGGACAGAAGGGGACCCTGTGGGACCCTGTTGCTGCTAATGGTACGGGAACCTGAACCGGGGGGTGCCGCGGCACCAAAGTGACACCACCGGGGAGGGAAAGGGTGGAATAAAGGGGTCTTGCTGAGCATAAGGGAAAGGCACCGGATGGAAAGCGAGCCCTGAAAGCAGCGTCTTCCTAGACTAGTTCTGCCCTCATTCCCACAGTTACAGCACACGGTGTTTGTGGTCCTTCCCCACCTTGCCCCTGCAGCCAGGGGAAACCTTGCAAAATGGGTATATATTGCAACAGGGGCTTCTCAGTGACCCCCCACCCCTTGTCCTTTCCTGAGCTTGCAACAAAACACCCATCTGCTTTATCATCATCATCATCATTATTTGCACCCTCCATTTCAGATGCACTTTTTCTGCTGTTCAGGCATTTATTCCCTCCCGAATGAATCGATCCGTCTCTGTGGCGATGAGCCCATCGGAAGCCGCTGCGGCTCTGCGGCCAGCCCAGCCTGTCCTGCCCGTTACACGGACCCGCAGCCTTTCTTTGCGAGCAAAAGGAATGAATGGGTTGGATGCCACCCCCTCCTTCCCCCCCCGGTGACCCTTTCTGCTCGCCCAAGGAAGTCATTCGCATCTCCAACTCACCTATCTGGATGTTGTTGGGGAAATTGGCCCCTAACACCGTCCCTAGGAAACCGGTGCAGAAGAAAGCAAAAATGTGCTGCATATTCCCTTTTGCATTGGCGAAAAAGAAGCCCAGTTCCAAGCATAGATTTGGTTTTCTCCCTCTGGTCTCTCTTTCTGTCCGCACCTCCCTTCTGCTATGCCTTCGGTGCTGTGCGTCTCCCTCTCCTGGAATCCAGCGCTTCGTCTGCTGCTTAACACCAACTGACAGCAGGATTAACTGAGCGCCGAGAGAAAGAAAGGGAAAGCGCTCTTCATGCATAGCCCACCCCTGTCTCTCCCTCGCTCTCACATGCACACACTGTGCACTTCCCACATGCTAATTTCCCTCGCCTCAATACAGCTCCATAGCTGGACTCCAGCCTCCCTCCATCACCCACCTCCCCCCGCCACCCTTTTTGGTGTCCCCTGCTTTGTCTTTCAGGGCGATTCATGCGTATCCCCAAATCACCCTTCCTCCCTCCCTCCTTTCACAGCCTGACCCACAAAGGAGCTGTGCAGATGTTCGGTGGGTGGTAAAACTCCTCCAGAGGAAGGTCTCAGCTCCACCGTCTCGGATCAATGTCTTCCTGACCGGGATGCTTAGGGTCTCGGGAGCCGGATTGCTACCTATCAGGCACAAACAACCCAGACCGCAAAAGAGGGGCAGGTAGCAGGGCTGCTGAAGGATGAAATGGGGCTTTTCTTCTTCTTTCCCATACTTTTTCCCCCTGCCCACTGGTAACCTGCTCTCCCTAGTTCAATCTGGACCAATGCATTTTATTCCTGAAGGAATTCATGCAAGCCCAGTCAGATGAGGATGCTATCAAAGCTAGGAGGGTACTTTGACCTGAATAATTATCTGAGCCTTTTAATTTTTTTTTTTTTTGGCAGCGATTCTATGGAGATTTCAAGCTATTTTACCTTTAATAGCCTTAATAGCCTGTTTCTCTCTCCCCCTCACACACACACACACACACACTTTGGTTCAATTTGGGATTCAGGAACATTGAGGGCAGAGGCACATATCTTGCCAGTGACAGCCCATGAGCACCACGGTGAGGACAAAAACATTGTTTGATTATCATTAATTCACTCAGGGTTGCATCTACAGGCCTTTGATCGAGGCCAGGGATCCATGGTGCTAAGAGCTGTTCAGGTATATCTAGCCAGGACAGTTTGCAACCCTAATACACACGAGAGGTTCAAGGTGAAAGGAAAAACAGATATAAAGGCAAAGTGACTTGTCCAAGTTTAAACAGTGAGTCGGTAGCAGAGCTGGAACCCAGGGGTCCTCTAGCCCCCACTGCCTCAGCGAGCACGATAAAAATATCTGAAGAGGGGTGGGTGGGGAGGAGGGACTCATCATCAGACAAACACTGAGGTCTCTTCCTGGTGAAGGACACAAGTGAAGCAGGTTTGACACTTTTTTATCCGGGAAGAAGGATGAAGATGGCGAATGTGCGAGCGGATCTCAGGGTGTCCATATACCCCGACAGATGGGACGGAGGCTGGTGGACGCACCCCTGGGAAGAGTGCTGGGACATGAAGTGGAGGATCGGAAGACCAGAAAAGCTGATTTCTCGTCCTTCGCAGATGACAGAGCTGGAGAAGGCTTACGATCTCACATGGGATAAAGGCTGTCACTAGACAAAGCAACCCCACACACGGGCAGTGAAGCTGAAAACTTCCCACTCTGCTTCCACACTGAGCTCGCGCCACGGCGAAGCCCTGGACAGCAGTTGCTGGGGAGTGCGAACTGAATCTAGAAATTGAGGGTTGGATGGGACCAAAGGACACCACATCTAGTCCAACCCCCTGCTCCAAGCAGGACCAGCCCCAACTACATCATCCCATGGCTTGGTCTACCCGGGTCTTCAAAACCTCCAAGGATGGAGACTCCACCACCTCTCTGGGTAACCTGGTCCAGAGCCACCCTCCTTGTGAGAAAGTTTTTCCTTATATCCAACCTCAACTTCCCTTGCTGCAACTTGAGCCCATTGCTCCTTCTGTCATCTGCCCCCACTGAGACCAGCCCAGCTCCATTGTTGTTGCAGGCCCCTGCAGGGAGATGAAGGCTGCTATTCAATCCCCTCTCCATCTCCTTTTCTGCAAACAACATCAGCCCAGGTCCCTTGGCCTCTCCTCACCAGTCCTGTCCCACAACCCCACAACCATTTCCATTGCCCTCCACTGGACTCTCTTCAGCTACATCCTTTCTGTAGTGGGGTGGGGGCAAAACTAGACGCAGGACTGTCCCCAGGGAGCAGGTAGGGCACGAGGCAGCTCCACAGACCCTCCGTAGCTGCTCCTTAGGTGGGTGGAAGAACAGCAGCAGCTCCGACGCGATGGTCAGCAGCGATGGATTTGTGTAGTCTTGGGCACAGAGACCATACGGCAGCACACTGCCAAGTACGTTGAGTCCTCTGGAGCATGGAGACCCTCCACATGCTCCTTTCTGGGAGGATCTCTAAAGACGCTGTTCCAGCACATGCATTTCTCCCAGAAGCACACAGAAGTCAGTGTTATGATGATAAGATGCCTTTCACATTCCTGCTTTTGCCAAAGTATGTGACAAGCAAGCGGTGAGAGCGCCGATCGGAGAGCGGCTCCATTAGCAGCCATGGCTGCGATGAAATATTCAGGGCACACGATGCGTTGGGCACGGGACCTTGCCTTAATGAGATCTTGTTCAGGGCACAAGGGATCTTAACAGGGCTTTTGCTAGAAAAGCATCTTTCAGCCGTCTGGCGGGCAACACGGTGCAGAATATCCACCCGTAGGTCCCCGAGATGACGGCAGAGTATGCCAAGCACTTTGGTGTTGCTCTGGAAAAGCAGAGATTTCACCAGGCAATGGGTCCCACTGCTTTCAGTGGGATCAAGGGAAGGCTTCAGTGCTGAAGCACTTACTCTGATGCTTTGCTGGATGAAGGCCGGCAGTTTGCAGGATAGAGGCCCTTGTAGGCTCATCCCAGGACAGAGCAGAAGGAAAATGCATCTGTCGACCTAAAAGTGCTGCACTGCCCTTAAGGGGCTGTCAAGCAATCCTCTTCCCCCCGACATCTTTTTCTTCTCTGCATTGAGGAGATATCTCCCTGAACCTGGGCATTTTGGCACAGGGCATCAGTGCAGATTTGGTGGACAGCTGCAGGCAGACAGAAAAGATACGTACTCTGCTTGCACCTATAACTAATTTCCATTTGCAGCCGACTGGCACCACCTTGATCTAATTTCCAGCTGTTTTTCTTGTACGGTTTAAAGTGCCGCCTCTTGGAGGCTGAGATTATGTCCTGAAAGGTTTTGTGGATTTCTGCTTCCAAGCCAACATCTAATAGAAAATCCTCTATTTATGAGCTGAAAGAGGAGGGAGGTTGCCTGCCTTCCAAATGCCCTAACAGGAAACAATCATGGTAGCAGCACCCGTAATACTATGCAATAATAGAGGCAAAACTAATTTGCATTTCCATGTCTGCATAATCCTGCTTTTGTCCACCTTGAGCCAGGAGAATATGTCGAGTGCACTTCACCCACCAGAATGTAATTACCCAAGTTGAAAGCTGGCCGCTGTATCTCATATTGCGTGGTTGTTTTGCCTTTTCCGTGTAGATCGCGGTGCTTTATCTGGGGTTCATCACCACACAGATGGCAGGAAGTAACTCCAATTATAATGCAGATAATTTAAATGAACATGGCAGAGCAGTGGTATATATCTCATCAGCTTTTGGTGAGAGGCCAAATTTTAGTCTTGGAGAAACTGTTGATGTACTTGGGTATTTCGGTAATGGCCATGACCCGTTGAGGTAGGTAGGTTGATGGGGTCCAGCAAGCAGCATCATTCAGATCTTGGCTCTACAGAGATTTTATCAATTTGGAGTTGGACAAATACAGACAGGTGTCTACTCCATGACTGCAGATGCCATAGGATATAAAGCATTCACTCCAGTCTGTATTTATTTCAAGATGCTGCTTTGGTGAGGACAACTCCAGAATAGCCAGGGGTGTCATCATCGTCGCAGGGAACAAAGTTTAACTCTGATCCACTAAGGTTACCTAAAACCAAAGAATGGCAAAAGCTACATGCTTATCATAGGATGATTAACCAGGTCTCGGAGAATTAATTTGGTGAAGAGGGGTGGCACCTTGATACTGGGTACCAGTAAAAGCATTGTATAAAAGATTGGGCTTTCTAAAGAAAGGTCATCATTCACGCTACTGACAAGTTTCAAAGCCCCTTCATCTGTTTTTTAAAGACAGTTCTTGGCTATAAAGGAGAGGATCCATTCATCCTTAATCCAAACTCTGCTGCTTGTCTCCTATAAAGTCTTCAGGGCTGTTCTTCCCATCGCTTTCAAGGCTTGCATTTAGTCTAACCTATGCGTGACAAGGATCTTTGAATCCCATATCAAGGAACAGGCTGTATTGGATGCTGTCCTGAGTACATTCACCCCTGGGACCTCTACTGCACTTTGCATGGCCCTGTGTTGCTCTCCGACTGCTATGGAGGTGAATTTGGAAGAGAAGGTCCAGCCTTAAATATCTGCCCCTGTGCGTCCAAGTGAGGATATAAGCAGAGCTACATTGCTGGGTGGAAAAAAAAAGAAAAGAAAAAGAAAAGGCTCATTTCCATGCAAACATTTCAATCTATGAAAAATGGAAAGAAGAAGAAACCCACAATACAGCTGACCTCTCTGCAGAAATGCTGCTGCCTGGATGTTCCTTGTGTTTTACAAGAGGCGCCCTTGTGCCTTTAAAGAGGCTAATGAAATAATATTATTTTTTGAAACTCCTTTTATTTTCTGGTTGGACAGTCTCCATAGGAGATTGCTGATAAAGGGCAGGATATAATTATAATGATTAATTTAAATAAAAAAAAAAAAAGCAGCTCATCCGGCTTCTTGTAAAGCCTCCGCATAAATGAATGCTAATGGTGTCGCTTCATTTGAGACGCGGCTTTTTCTCTTCTTACCTAGCCGCTCCCCTCACTTTTGTAATTTCGGATTATGTAAGTCTGCAAACAGGAGGGTCAGGGAGCGTCGGGCTGCATTCAGGAGGAGGAAAGTTTGGAGGAAAGGATGAGCAACAGGCGATGCTTCGTTGTTACAGTTGTGTCTAAGCCCATCCTTTACACTTTGGTTTGGCTCCGGATCGTACAGCAATGTGCAGAGGTATTAGAGCAGGCACAAGAGCATGGACGGCCCTCTGGATTTGCACACCATCTTCTAGAAGAGCATGCAAACCATAACCCTAAGTACACCGACAGCCACTTATGCCCACACTGCCA